TCAGACTCAGACCCCAAGTCCAGTTACAACTATAGTTTTAGAATAAAAGTTCTATTTTCTAAAAAAGAAAAAAAAACACATGGGTGTCAATCTGTGGTGTAATAACTGGGTATGCTCTAATTTTAGAAAATACTATAAAATATGTTTATAGCCTTTAATTTAGAGAATCCACACGCAAAAAGACACCAGTGTCTCCGAATCAGAATTATTATCATTATCCTAAGGCAGAAAAGCACTGCATCACTGAGAATGAAGATGCTATGACCTCTGTTAAGACTCATAAGTCTCAGAATTTGCTACACTGTGACGAAAGGGAAAGGGCACTAAAATTGGAGTCAGGGAACTTTGTTTCAAGTCCATTAGGTAAACTCTAAGATCTATTGTCAATTTTTTATATAGGCTGCTCTCTATGCCTCGATTGCTCTCCCTTCTCATCGTGGCCTCTTCAATTCCTGAGCTTCTTTCAAGATTCAGCTCAAGCACCATCTCCCACATGTTCTTCCCCTTAGTTATCTGGGTCCTTCCTCAAATTATCTTCTACTTCCCTATCTATTTAAATGTTGTATTTCCTCCTCTCTCCCCTATATATCAGAGGAGTTTTTCCCCTGATATCTAGCACAATGTCTTACAACCATAAAGTGCTTAATAAATGTTTGTTCAATTGTTTCAATTCACAAAAGATCCAGAATCCACACTTCATGCCACAAGAGACTCATTAAATCCTATGATTCCATTATTCCCAAGAAATGTTACTGCCACTTCCTGATGGTGTCTGAAGTCAAGTATCTAGGGAACTTGGGAACAAGCTTATTCCCAATCTAGGAAACAACTCTGCTTCATATACCTACACATGGAATCCAGGGGAAGTGTGAAAACCAAGTGACCTATACTAAAACCCTGGGAATTCCTGAGTCCTCTAAACTAGGCATACCAGCTGGATGCTAACGAGGACTTTAAGCACTCACTATGTTCTGAAAACCAAGAAAGGAAGAACTTTTACTCTACAAAGTGACTGTGTGAAGACATAAGGGCAGAAAGAAGAAAAGAAGTTCATCCAACCCACCAAAACGCTATCTGGAGTCATTCATGAGAAGCTATTTGTATTTGTGTGATTGAGCTTTTCTTAGAATGCCAACCAGCCTAATATTGAATCCTCCAGTGAATAACAGGTGTGATGAGGCTATAATTCTAGGGACAAGGAGAGCAGAGGAAAGGAAAGATTAAAGAATTAACTCCCATTTAGTACAGTTCAATGGAAGCTTCGGTTGGGGCTCAAGTCACAACCAAAAGTGAGGAACTACTGATCTAAAATCTTCCTCATACGTATCCCACCTCATCTTTGCACTCTTCTTTCTTAACTTGGGGGCAGTCCCTTCATGTGTCTTTACAATTACTTTTGGTGAGGCAATTGGGGTTAAGTGACTTGCCCAGTCACAGAGCTAGTAAGTGTTATGTGTCTAAGACTGGATTTGAACTTAGGTCCTCCTGACTCCAGGGCTGGTGCTTCATCCACTACCTAGCTGCCCCTACAATTTTTGGTAATTTTATACTTATCAATTTAAATAGTTGATGTGAGATGTTTTAGGGCAAAAATTGTCTTTGCTTTTGTATTTGCATCCCAGATACAATATACTATGGTAAATATATAAATATATATATACAAGCTATACATATATATACATATACATATATGAACAAATGTTACATATATATATAAAACATTTAATGATATTTTTATTCACCCATTCATATGCACCATAGTTACTACAATTAATTCCAATACCTGTTCAACCACTATTATTGTTGTTCAGTCATTTTTCTATCGTGACTGATTCTTCATGACTCATTTGGGGTTTTCTTGACAAAGATACTGGAGTGGTTTGCCATTTCCTTTTCCAGCTCATGGAGCTTATCATCTCTTTGATCCCAAAATTGTGTATTTCTATACCAGATCCCCTATAGATATTTAAGCACTAGATGAATGATTGAATGAATGAGAGAATATTTAAGTGTCTACTATATGCTAAGTATCATGTGTTAAGGTTACAAAAATAAAAATAAAAATAGTCTCTGCCCTCAAACAAGTTACATTCTGCTAGTGAAAATATGGGCAGAGATAAATTACCACAAAATAGGTATGAAGTAAATAGAAGGGTAATGTGCTTTTAGAGGGTGTCTGGTTATTTCAGTTCCTGTGGCCTAGAGACTCATCAAACTCTAGACTAACAAAGATCAGGTCTGGTGATGGGGGCTGACCAAAAAGCATCAGATCACCCATTGCCCCCTTTGCAGGGTTTCATGTGGGAAATATTCAAAATCTTCATGTCTAAGTTTCCATAAATATGGGTAATGGGAACCCCACCTCCCAAACAAATGTTCAAGATAACAAAGAACACAGGTTTAAGGACAGCTTTTATTTCAGAAAATGCAGAAGTCTTGAAGGACCAACTAAAATCCATAAAGAGACAGAAAACACATAAAACATGCACAGTAAGCCCTGAGCTCCCCTTGGAAGAAAACCCAGCCTAGAGATATTGTCTTCAGGACAACACGTTGGTATTTCAGTTAAACCCTTCTCTCTTAAAGTGCCTCCCATATTTGTAGTGTCTCAGTGATTTGGGCTCCTCTCTGCAAAGCAAACACCTTGTGGCTACAAGATAGCATGTCCCTTCCCATCAGACTTGCATTATCTGAATAACTCTAACAGTGAGGCTGTCAAGGCCTAATTTTCTTTTTTCTCTCCCCTGTGTGACTTTACTCCCTTAACTGCTCAGGAATTTCCATCCTCCAATTGCAGTGGTCACCTGGGTGGTCTTTACCTTTCTCCTATAGGTATGAAAACAATACATCTCCCTCTCACTGTAAATGCAACTCTATGAACTCTTACACTTGGATTTATGTTCGACTGACAAAAACCAAAAAATTTTTCTTCACTGCTAGAAGACTAAATTCTGGGATTATTCTGCCTACAAAATATAGGCCCTCTTTCTCTACCTAGAAACATTGGGATTCACAACACTGTTTTGAACTCCTCTTTGGGGTTATGTGTTCAAGTGCATATCTATCTCTGCAATGGGCTTTTTCAGGAACTCTTGATACTCTGCAATTGCCCCACTAACCAATTATGGTGCCTCCTATGGAGACAAATAATACTGCTACGTATATGTAAAACATTGCTAGAGATTATTAAAACACATGAATGAAAATGAAGACCTTACACACACATTTAGTGATTTTACAACTGATGCTACCTATTGAAGGCAAGGACTTTAGCAGAGAAGGGGAAATTTAGGAAGTGAACAAAGATGGTGTCTGGGAATAGGATTTGGACTTCATCACCTTAACTCAAAAAATAGAATTTATGAACTGCTGTACACCTCTTGGACACCTCTTGGAATTTAGTTCACTTAAGAAGGACTGGCCAAAAAAAACACCCACAATAGTAATAACCCCTTCATGTTAACCTACTGAATTTTCATTTTTCAAAATCTACCTTATATATGAGCTACTAAAGTAGAAAATAAAATAAATCAATCTTTCTCACAAATTCACACTAAGTACACAGATTAGCAACTATTTGTCTAGGCTCTGGAGAAGGCATTCAGACTCTATATAGGGGTTGAATCCAACATCTGAGATACCTGCTAACTCTCAGATTCTGGTACATTTTCTAACAATCTCAAGAATGTGAAGAAGAAGGCTTTGAAAGAAAGAGAAGTTGGAGAAAGAAAACTGCCCATATGTAGAACACTGGTTCAGATATATGAGGACTCAGATTGAAATCCTCCCTCTGAAACTTAAAACTCTGTGATTGTGGGGAAATCCCTTCAACTCCCAGTGCCTCTAAATTCCACGTCTTTGAATTGAGACAGTCAGACAAATGGCTTTCGAAGTCCCCTCCAGCTCTAAATCTATGAGTATATGATCTGCTAAAGCAGGCATGACAGATAGCAGAAGGTAAAATACAAAAAATGACCATATAAGCAAAAGGGACTGCTAATATACAAGAAGTGGGAGCAATGAAGATTTAAAAAATGGCTTCAGACATCTATACACAATGCTTTATTACACTTTTATTAAACTAGAGCTATGATTTCATTAGCATCAACAACTGCTCAGCAACTTATTACCCTAATGAATTTACTGAGGCACTGAGGGATTAAGTGACTTCCCAGAGTATACAAACAGAATGGGATGGGTCATAGAGTCACAGATTTAGAGCTTCAAGGTACCGTTAAAAAAATAGAGATACGGAGAAGTTATGTGATATGTCTGGGTCACACAGCCAACACGTGCCAGAAGACGAACTTAACCCAGGGCTTCTTGACTTCAAGATCATCTTTCTATCTATTCCACCATGTTATGCTTAGGAAAAATTCCCTGTTTCTTGTCCCTCTTAATATTGCATCACACGTCAACACTTCCTTCTGATCTTTAACACACAGAATCTTCCCCCAAACCCTGGAGTAACTCAGAATATTATTTTTTCTTACCATCAGGATAATGAATCCACAATCCTCACCCAAATCTAAAACTCTTCCACAGCTTCTCATATCACTTGGCCAAGGAAAGCCTGCTCTAACTAGTTGTATGACATTGGACAAATTAGAAGGAATTCATGATACACATGAATGAATGAAACCTCTAAGGTTTCTTTTAACTCTAAAATTCCATATGTCAAATCTGTAAGTCTTCTTAGCCCCACCTATTTCCTCAAAAGTTATAGGGTTTTTCTCATACAAAAGTTGTTTTTGAAAAGCTATGTGTAATGTTAATGAATTTAATGAATTAGGAATAGCACTAAAGAGACCCTGTGTGTGTGTGTCTGTGTGTGTATGTGTGTGAAGACAAGAATTCATGCATAAGGTAGAAATTATTTTGTACAAGGAAAACAAAGATTTGCTCCTCCTACAGAGAAAAGCCTTCAAATCAAGCTCACTCCATGAAAAAACTCCAATAAAACACATAGAACTTTGTATCTTCTTATTCCCTGGTCCTATTCAGGATATCCTTCTACTCAGAGTTTTCTTCACAGCCAATTTGACATCCTTGTTTCTCAGGCTATAGATCATGGGATTCAGCATAGGCACCACAATGGTGTAGAATAAAGAAGACACTTTCCCTTGGGTCATGGATAGAAGGGAGGAAGGTTTGAGATACATAAATGCTCCTGAGCCAAAGAAAAGAGAAACAGCAATTATGTGGGAGCTGCAGGTGCTGAAAGCTTTGGTCCGGCCCTCAGTGGAGTTGATGTGGAGGATGCTACAGAGGATTAAAGCATAAGAGACAAAGATGGTAACAGTGGGGACACCAATGTCAATTCCTACAACAATGAAAACCACTAACTCATTAACATGGGTGCTGGTGCATGAGAGATCTAGGAGGGGGAGTATATCACACATGTAGTGATTGATAATGTTGACATCACAGAAGACTAATCTTAGCATGAAACCTGTATGGGCCATGGCTCCAGAAAACCCCATTATATACACCCCCAACAATAGCAGAGAACAGACTTGGTAGGACATGGTTACATTATAAAGCAGGGGGTTACAGATAGCAACATAACGATCATAAGCCATAGCTGAAAGAATAAAGGACTCAGAAACCACCAAAAAAAGAAAGAAATAAAGTTGAGTCATGCACCCAGAGTAGGAGATGACGGTTTCCTCTGAGACAAAGTTTGCCAGCATTTTGGGAGTAATAACAGTAGAGTAACAGAGATCTATGAGGGACAGATTAAAGAGAAAATAGTACATGGGGGTATGAAGGTGAGAATTCAGTCCAATCAAAGTGACCAAGCCTAGGTTCCCCACAACAGTAAGAACATACATCCCTAGGAACAGGAAGAAGAGGGGAAGCTGGAATTCTGGTTGATCTGTTAACCCCACAAGAATAAATGCAGACACGATGGAATGATTTCCTATGACCATTCTCTTCTGGGAGTGATCTATGGGAACAGGAGGGGAAAAAAACAATATTTAACTGAGGTCCAGCATTATATTCCCTATTTGGCATTCAAGGCCCTTTACCACCTGGCCCATCCCTATCTTCCCAGTTTTCCTCCACATTCCTGCAAGCTATGATCCAAATATAATGGCTTGCTTGATGTCGTTCACACAGGAAGTTCTCCAACTGCCACATCTAGGCCATTGCACAGACTGCCCCCTATGCCTGAAATGTTCATTCCTCCTCGGCATCCCTGGTTTCTTTCAAGGCTCAACTCAAACAATAATTTCTCTGCTTCCCCACCTCACCCCAAGCTGCTACTATCTTCCAACTGCTCTTTATCTCCCATGTACCCATTTATGTTTGTGTCTCCACTTTCTTAATGGGGAACTCTCCCTATTCATGTCTATGTCTCCCCTTTCTTAAGATGGGGATTCTCTTTGCTTTTTCTTTGTGTCCCCGGTGTTTAGCATAGCAACTAGAACATAATAAGGACTTAATAAATACTTGACTTAATGATCATGAGGTAAAATGATGGTTAGGAGGCTAAGTCTAGTCCTCCATTAGCCCCCTGGCACTGGGCTCAGGGTCACGAACACCCAAGTTTAAATCTAGCCTTAGAACTTTATTAACTGTAGAACTCTAGGTAAGTTGCTTAACCACTGTCTGACTCTGTTTCTTCAAATATAAAAAGGAGGTAATAATGGCACCTACCTCAGAGGGTTGTATGATGATAAAATGAGATATTAGTACTTAGCACACTATCTGGCACAAAGTACTTGCTTAACAAATCCTGTTCACTTCCCTTCCTCCTTCTCGTCTTGCTATCAGAAATCTCAGAGACTCAAAACATTCTGACTTACAGTCTCTATTAGGTGAAGTATTTCAATGAGTTCCTCCTGACTCTGCCTCTATAATCACATGTGGGGACAAATAACAGTACCTTTCACAACATGAGCAGAAAATATATTTAGAAGATCTAATCATTAGCCTTCAACAACTCTTTACTGCAGGGGTTCTTAACCTAGGATTTATGAACTTGGGGGTTTTTTAATTATATATAACATCAATATAAATTACTTCCTTTACAATTCTATATATTTTATTTTATGCATGTAAAAACATTCTGGAAAAGGGTCTATAAGTTTCACCAAACTGTCAAAGAAGTCCATTACACAAAAAGTATTAAGTCTTCCTGCTTTACTGGATTCTTCTAGGATGGCAATCATTTCAGGGGAAGAAGAAAATTCCTCTGAGAAATTCAGTCACTCACAGTGTTCACAAAGAAAATTGCCAGGAGCAGGAAATGGAAGGAGCATCCCTTGTTTTTGGAGAGTCCTCAGGGGCTGAAGCACTGGGTACACCTGGAGGCTCCTTGTCTCTTCTCATTGTCCAATGCACTCTCATGGACTCAGTTTAACTGAGTTCCACAAGGAAGTGGTATTCCCATGAACCCTGGCACCTCATGGTTGTGGATTTGAAAGGAAAATTTCAGGAAAAAAAATCAGGAAAAAAAGGAAAAAAATAGGTCATTCACTCACCTTCCCTCAGGATGGGTTCTTATTGTTTGGTTACTCTCCTAGTCCTAGATCCTCAGTGTTGACAGACTTTACAACTTTCTTTCTGGCTAAGGGAAGTCAGAGCCTAGATCACAGTTATTAAGCTAACATCAGAGTTGTTTTGAGTGAGGGATACTAGCTTCTAATTATTGCTTTATTTCAAGGATCCTCTGGCTAGGGGAGGGAACAACACCTAATAAATATCTTTGGAATCACTTAATGATACGAAAACAGGGTGTTTTATTCTGGGTGTTGGCCTCCCAGGATTAATTTGAGAGGTCACGAACTTCAGGGAGAAGAAATGGGGTTTGTGTTTTTACTTGGGATCATTAAGTGCACATTGGCTGCTTGAGCACTAAATCTATGCAAACTCTGACTTCCCGGTAGGGATTTCACATCCCCCCAGTGCACAGAAGAAAGGAACCTCACTTTTCTCTCTCCAGTTTTCTTCATATAACCAATCAGAAAGCATATATTACTCTCAGATACTATATTAAGCAATGCAGATACAAAGATAAAAGTGAAATAATACTTCTGCCCAAGGAGCTTATATTCTATTGAGAAATACAGCACATATGTGTATGCATGTATAATTATAATAAATACAAGGTATTTGGGGGGGTAGAGGACATCAGCATCTGGGGAGGGGAAATCATGAAATGTTTCATGTGGAAAGTGACACACCTGAGCTAAATTTTGAAGGAAATGGGGGATTTAGAAGTTTATTCAGGCAGGGGAGACAGCCGATACAAAGGCATAGAAAAGGAAGAAGGATTGTCATTTGTGGAGGTAAAGAAGAAGCCAGCCAATCTCTCTAGGCTGCAGAGCACAGGAAGGGGAATCTGTATAATAAAGCTGGAAATGTAAGAAGCAGAGTTTGAAGGGTTTTAAAGACCAGAGAAGTTTATGTTACAACCTAGAGGCAATAGAGATCCAGTAAAGTTTATTGGGTAAGGGAACGCCATGATCAGACCTATGATTTAGAAAAAAATCACTTCAGCAGCTATGTGGAAGATTGATTGAAATGGTGGAAAACAAGAAAGTCAGGGAAACCAACGAGGAGACTACTGCAATAGTTCAAGCAAGAGGTGGTAAGGGCCTGAATTAGCATATTGGCCATTAGAGTGGAAGAAAGGAAGGGGACAGAGTAGAGGTAAAAAAAAAAAAAGACAGTAGTATTCTAGTATCAAAAAAATCTCAAAGGTCATCAAGTCTATTCCTGTCTCATTCTACAACTTACCTCTGAAAAGCAGCCAAATTTATGTTTGAATACTTCCAGTTACTGATAATTAACTTAATGAGGCAATCTACTCCATTTTGAATTGCTCTAATAAAGAGAAGGCTGAGAGCAAGGAACTGAAAATAATTATTTACTGATAATGGCACCCATTAGCTATTACCTCCAACACTACAGAATCTGAATCTGTAACTTCCTAGTATATTATTTTCTTCTACAAAGTTCCTCTGCATCCTCAACCTAATCATTTTAATACAATTTTCAGTCCAATTATAAATGTATAAATGTAGATTAAATTAATTCTGTATAATTTCTTATTGATCCTATTTTCTATTAATTGGTTTTGTCCTGTTACTACTTAAGTCATGAATTAAATTTAGAAATCCAGTTCTGTTAATCACCATTCTATTCTTGTCTCAAGGAAATCTGCTATCCTTGGAGGAAGCAGATAGCACCATGGAGTCTGGTCTAGTATCTTTACACCAAAAGGCTGTCTTTCAAGGATGTCTGATTTGCTACCCAAAGAAGTCTGGTCCATTACATCGAACCTTGCAGGTGAACATTTCCTAGTCACAGGAGGGAAGGAGGGGGTTGTTGCTAGCTTCTCGTTCCCAACTTCCAACCCATCATATTGTTCCCCACCACCTCAGCTATGTAACCAATTACATTGTCCTCATCTCCATGACTTAACCAACCCTATAACCAATTATATTCTTTCCTCACCTACCCTGTTCTGTCATTTCTTCTGTGCTTATAAAGAGGAAGTTGCACATTCATTTCATGGTCTTTTGGCTAACAGAGGCAGTCATTAGACACCTTTATTATCAGATTAGCACCCTGTTAATAAATTGCTATGTTGCTCAGAGAATCTGTGCCTTAGTCTACCTTTGCTGAATTTCACTTGCACCAATATCTGGCCTTAGTCTTGAGGCACTTTTAAGGGATGTCAAGTCAGCATGGTATAGTGGCTACAGAGCTGGCCTTAAAACAAGGAAGGCATGGATTAAAGTTACACCTCTGATAAATATTGCTTATGGGTATGGGGGTGGGTAGGCTAGTATTTATTAAGCACCTATTATATACGGGCACTGTGCTGAACACTTTACAAATACTACAGTATTTGATCTTCACAACAACCCTGGGAGATAGGTACTATTATGACCCCTATTTTATAGTTGAGAAAATTGAGGTAGACAGAGGTTAAGTGACTTGCCCAGGGCCCCACAGTTAATAAGTGTCTGAGGTCAATTTGAACTCAGGCCTTCCTGACTCCAGGCCCAGCACTCTATTCACTGCACCACCTAGACATCCTTAAAAAGTCCCTTCACTCTCAGTTCCCTAGTCAACCCGCTAAAACTTTAAGTTGCAAATAAAGTGCCAAACTACATTGGTAGAGGGAGTTTCCTGACCCGGGAATTCCCTATACCAGAGAAATCACAGGTGCAGTCTCTTTCCTTATAACCTTAACTCCTGTTTAGGAAACCCCTTTACTGAATGCCTCATTTTCAACCTTCATTAAGCTAATAATAGCTTGCCTTTATTTACTCCCCTGAAAGCATAGGGTTTACTATAGCTACAGAATACTGTAAGTTTTTGAGGACAATGGAAGGAATATGATTGTCAAAATCCATTCTCTCATTAGTCCAAGGACTGGACTGGGTGTCCTGGGTGTGAAGGAGAGAAAAGCATCCATATCTCTTCTCATGATCTACCCTTCCCTTGACCACTCTTATAGATATGAGAAAAAGGATGAGATAAAACATATAGTATGTACACTTTCTATACTGTAAGAAAAATAACATAAAATATAAATCAAAATATTTCAATAGAAGGAAACATCAGGAATGACTTCTTTTCAAAAAATATAAAAACCACAAAGTTAGCTTAAAGGACATTATGTCTTTCTCTTTCCTCCCTCTTGGAAGAAGGATGCAATGTGGAAAGAACCCTGGAAAACACTGAGGAACTGAATATCACAGAAATGATTCCCTAAAGCCCAATACTCATTGTAAGAGCTCAGTGACAACATGTTGTAGTGAATGCTGACATCAAAGTCAAGTTCAAAAAATTTCTCTATAAATCAGGGAAGATAGTATTGGTGGAGGGAATAGAAATAAAATGATAAGAATAGTCAAGAATTAGAAAAATAAAGAGAAACATTTATATTTTATGATTCTAATGTTCTTTTTAAAGTTTATCATAAAGCAGTACTACCCTTAGAAGTGAACAAGGCAAGCCCCCTACCTGTCCCAGAACTGCACGGGCATTTTTGGATCTTTGGAGGATCACATTCATCACAAGTGCAAAAAAAAAAATTCTTAAGAGAATAATGAAATGCATAGAATAAAACAAAATAATTACGAATGACCTACCCAACCAAGTAAATGTTATCCTGTTTCTATGGGATATATTGCATGGCATTTGGGAACATGTGAATACACCTAAATTAAGCCAGTATGAAGGTAGCAGAAGTGTGAGTACCATGACTGGTGGGGGAATATGGCAGTAGAGGGGAGAGGCAGAAAAGATCTCCAGTTTAGAGCTTAGGTGGTTGGTTGCCACATCTGTGCATGGGGCAAGCTTAGCTCAGTCACTATTCCCAACTCCAAAATGAGCAACTGTGGCTTACTCAAGTGAGTTTAATTTGCCCTGTTCTAAAGCCACCACTACCACCTCCAGAGCTTCAAGATTGGGATAGGTGAGGGGTGATGGAAATCCTAGTACTGCCCTAGAGCCCTTTATCTGGGCTGGACCCCACTCCACTTGGAATGCAGACCTCTCTTCACTGTACCACCTAGACTAGACATCTCAATCACTTTGAAACCAAATAAATTTGGATTTGAAAACAAACTTTTTCATTTTCTGTTGCTCAGTGAGGGGAGGGTGTTGTACAAGAAATAGCGGGTATAATCCACAAGAAGACGGATTTCAAGTAAACATAAGGAGCTATCAACAGGCAGCTTAAATTAGAGCACATCAGCCTCAGATACATGCTTACTGTGTGATCATGGACAAGTCACTTAAAGTCTTAGTGTGCTAGGTAGGCCAGGGTTCTCCAGACTATTTTAATAGGGCACTCTATCAGTAAAGTATTTTGTTTATTTATAAACTATATGCATATACTATACTAATGTTACCTTATGAAATACACAAAAATAAACATTAAAAAGAAAAATGAAAGAATTTAAAAATATCATTAATGATCCAAAAATCATTTTGCTCATTAAAATATTAATTTGTAATCTTTAAATACTAATAGCATACTATGTTCTAAGCAGTTAACCACTTTTGCTACCTTCATTTGTTTCTTAGAATTTCTAAAATACCTCATATTGATTGCTTAAAAATTGTGAGAGCGTTACCTAAATTCTTAATGATTCACAAGTAAACCACTATTCTTCAAAGAACTGTAACATTATGGTCACATGACCTAAAATAGCAAGTCAAATTTAGAAAGTCATTTCTCCTCTATAAGATTTGGTGTTCTAAATCACAACATTTGTTAAGAAAAGGTGAAAGTTATAAGATAATTATTCTAAATCTCCATTGGTAAATCAGTACACCTCATGTGGAATTTGTAGTACATTTTAATCAATTATTAATATAGATAGTGTTATCAGAGGAAAAAAAATTATTTACCTGAGCCCTGAGCATGCTAGATATGGCCCTGCTTTAAAGAGCCATCTTTGAATTAAGTATTTTGAGGCTTGTATGTAGATGTTATAGAATGTTAGCACTTGAAGAAACTTAACCTTCATCTAGGCCAACCCTTTTATTTCATATATAAAGAAATTGAGATCCAAAAAGTTGAAGTGGTTTCTCCAAATTCACACACAGAATTTAGTGGCACAGTAAAAATCCAAACACAAGCCATCTTGACTTCCAGTCCAGGGCCATTTCTATTATACTATGCTTACCCTTCGGTCTTCAAACAAAGCAATATGATTAGATGTTTTTAAGAGCCTGGGATTATAAATATGGGTAGGCATGATTAGGAAGCCCCATCTTGAATTTGAAAAAAGATATGTCAGATCATGGGACAATGGCACACTACTGTCATTCCATGGTGCATATTTAAATTTCAAAGTTAGTGATTCAGGGGTTGATATAAGACTTGTGCTTCTCAAATAGTTATAAAATTGCAGGAGCATTTCATTTGATGAACAGCATTGACCCTGCTTCAAAACTTTCACTTAGGATTCTGCTACTCCACATTTAACAAATAATCGAATCCAATTCCTGCTTTTAATCCTTTGAGTAAATAATGCAAAGAGAGATCAACCAATTTATTTGTATCCCCTAAGACAGGATCTCCTGGGATCCTGTTGGAGATGAGGAACTTAGTGATTAATTAAAACTTGGATTTGCTAGAGGAGTGATGAAAGGCTCTTATTTGAGCATTTCAAAACTCAAGAAAAGTTCCTGTGAATTTTATTAATTCTAATTACATTGCCACTGGGGTTTTATTCAGAAAGATCCAAGTTATAATATGCTCACTGAGGTTACATTAATCCTTTCGCAGGTGCTATCTCCAAAGGAAAAGCAGAGTAAGTCTAAGGAAAAGACACAGCTTTCCTAGGGCATGATCATTATGCTCCCTCTATGTTCCCCATCCCATACTAAAATCTCTCTCACTTGCCCATACTATGGGTCCTTTAAATATATAAAAATCATTGTAAGGAAAAACTCTAAAAAATTAGAGCTCTCTCTACCTGGAATGGCCTGACTTACCTAGTTCACCATCACTTGAGTTCTTCAAGGAGAGGCTGGATGACTAGTTATAGGGAATGCTGAAGAAGAGATTGGATTCTGTGGCCTTTGAGGTGCCTTCCAGTTCTGAGATTCTATGCTTCTATTAAACATTAGTTCTACTTCTAGACCTCAAATTCTATTATAAACTAAAAATCTTAAAAATCATTTCAGTATTGGTTAAAAAATAGAAAAGTATATCAATGGAACAAACTAGACAAGGGAGAATCAGAAATAATCAAACACAATATTCAATAAATCCAAAAATATAACTTAGGGATGAACTCCCTATTTGATAAGAACTATTTAGAAAACTGGAAAGCAATATAGCAGAAATTAGGCTTGAGATCATCAATTTACACCATATTCTGTGATAAATACAATGTGAATACACAACGTTAATATTAAAAATAATATCTATTTGTAACTCCTGAAACCTTTGTCAGTATTAGGGTAATTGGAGGGGAAAAAATTATATGTATGTATGGGGGGGGGGACAGGCTGAGTTGAAGATGAAGAGGTAATATCTGGAGAATAAAATTAAGGGGTAAGAGAGGACTATACTGGGAGAAGGAGAAAGGAAGAGGTAGAATGGGGCAAATTATGTCACATAAAAAAGACAGAAAAGGCTTTTACAATGGAGGGGAAGTGGAGGAAGGTGAGAGAGAATGAGTGAATCTTATTCTCATTGGATTTGCCTTAAGGGGGGAATACCACACATTCTCAACTGGGTATGGAAATCTATCTTACCCTACAGGAAAATAGTGGGGAAGGGGAGAAGAGAACAGAGGAATGATAAAGGGGAGAGCAGATTTGGGGAGGGGGTAATCAGAAGCAAACACTTCTGAGGATAAACAGGGTCAAAAGAGAGAATAGAATAAATGGGGAGTGGGATAGGATGAAGGGAACTATAGTTAGTTTTCTACAACAAGACTACTATAGAAGTGTTTTGCATGACTACACATGTATAACCTGTATTGAGTTACTTGCCTTCTCAATGAGGGTGGGTGGGGAGGAAGGAAGGGAGAAAATTTGGAACCCAAAGTTTTCAAAACAAATGTTAAAAATTGTTTTCACATGAAATTTGGAAATAAGATATACAGGCAGTGGGGTATAGAAATCTATCCTGCCCCACAGGAAAGTAGAAGGGGAAGGAAGTAGATAAGAGAAGGGGGAGGCAGATAGAAGGGAGGGCAGATTAGGGGAAGGGGTATTCAGAATGCACACCATCTTGGAGTGGGGCAAGGGAAGACATGGGGAGAAAATGTGGAATTCAAAATCTTGTGAAGTGAAGTGAAAATATAAATTAAAAATAAAATGATAATAAAGGAAAAGGAAAGAGGAAAAAGGAAGGTAATCATTATACCTTTCACAGCCATAAGTAGGAGATTTATGATTAACCAAATAAAGGATAAAGATAGATGAAATAGATCATTTTGATCATACTAAATCAAAAAGCTTTGGAACAAAAAAATTAGTGTTTAAACAAAATTCTAAGATAGGAATGTAAATAGACAGCTGGGGAAAATGCATGAAATTTCTCAGATAAGGTTTTGGTTTCTAAAATATTTAGAAAACTAATAGAAATATAGACAACCAAAAGCCTTTCTGCAATGGATAAGTCGTCAAAGGATGTGAACAGGGACTTCTCAAAAGAACTGCAGACAATAATTATATGAAAGAATGCTCCAGATCACAAATAAGCAAAATGAAAATAAAAACAACACAGGTTTCACTTCATACCCAGTAAATTAGAAAAGATGACCAAAAAAAGAGAATAGTAAATGTTGGAGGAGTTGTAGAAAGACAGGAACTCCAGCACATTGTTACTGGAGTTGTAAATTAGTACAACCATTCTGGAAAGCAATAAAATACTTGCTGAATTAATGAATAAATGATGTAGATTCAACAGCTCAAGAGCTATTAACTCATTTTACCAAAAATGTAGAGAAGATACCAAAATGCAAGCAGATGTGGTAAGAAATCTTGGAGGCATTAAGTACAGATTATTTTAGGAAAAGTTGGGATTTGAAGGTGAGGAGAGAGTAGCTGGATGAAGTGGGTCAAAATGGGTCAAGAGAAGGCTTTTTTAGGACTGAGGATTGTAGAAAGATGGAAACCTCATCCTGGATTTCAAGGCTTTCTGCAATGTGTCTACAACCTAAATTTTCAGTCTTATCTCACATTACTCTACTTCATCTGCTTTATATTCTAATCCAACTATGTTACTCTCCCACTTCTATTTTTATCTTGTATTTTTCAATCTCAGTGCCATACTCCATGCCAGGAATGGTCTTTAAATGTCACCTCTTCCTTATATCCTTCCTATACCCATCCAAGTAAAAATGATGTGTCTCTCCTAAGATTTTTCATAGCACTTTGCTTGAACCTTCACATTAACACTTCCATTTCAAAATAATTGTTCATAGATCGATGGAATTACGACAGACCTGAGAGTTCATGTAATCTAATCAAAATGATTGCCATTTCAATATCCCTGAGAAGTAATCAATCCTCCTTATGATTTCTCAAATCAGATCATCAGTATTTTGGATAGTTCTAATTATTATTCCCAGACCTCCAACAATGTCAATGCCCCTCCAGAATGTCAACCCTGCTTCCAGCTTAGTCCTTTCAGCCATCATGGAAAGAAATAACTCTTATATGGAAAGTGCCCTCCATCCCCAACACGAATGGTCAATCAACTAACAAAGAGTAGTTTAAGAGTTCCAGGAACAGCAAGCAGCACAACCCAGACCACCAGCCCTGATTCCAACCTAGTCCCCATAGCCAAAGTCTAGAGTAGCAATCCTTGTGGAAATTTAACTTGGCAATTGTCTTTACAGGTGCTACAATCCCTCTATCTTCAGCAGCCATAGTTACCGAACACCTGAAAAGAAACTTAGCAAAGTCCTTGGCACTGCCATATGGTTTATCATCAGAAACAAAACTTTATTAGTGGAAATACTATTAAATAAGATATTTTGCCACTATACCCTAGGAACCACAAGGCCTTTTGGTTCTTGGGGTGCAGTGGAAAATTATCCTATTTAATGTTATTTCCACTAATACAAATTTTGTTTCTGATGATGAACCATTTGACAGTAGCTAGTGCTGGGGTAAGTGCCTGTGATCTGAACTCTACAGAGGCCCTCACTAGAAGTCTCAGAAAGAAAGAGTTAACATTAATAGTTCACAATTTGGGATGAAAGTGGAAACTATTTCTCTTTTTAAATTTCTTAAATTGATACAGTATCCTCTGTTCTTATCAAATTAACTGGGCTGCAATTTGTCCATATCCCCAATTCCAGAAAGGATTCTTAGCCCCCAGAAAGAATCAAGTGCTTTCCAAAAGAGTCCACAAGTGACATCCCAAGTGCCACATAAAAACTTCCAAGCAGTTCCTTCAGCACAGTTTCTCAGACTATTCCAAAATTACAGTTTGGGGCCCTGGAGAGGTAGTCCCTGACTCAAGCTAAGGACTAGGCCTAACTGATGGGTCTGAAAATACTATCACTCCCAATTACAAGAAATTACACAAATTCAATCAAT